CCCCCTGGTAACCACTAAACTATTGTCTGTGTCTATGAGTGTTTGTTGGTTACAATGCAATATAGTCTGTTTACAAGTAAATATTAGCTTTTCTTTTCTTTTTCATGGCAGGGTGCTTTTTCATCGAAACCAAAATTGTATACAATATTTAATATAAGTATTTTTAAAATATTCTCAATTGATTTAATGGTCTCCTGAGGAAATGAATTTGTACTGCCTGAGGAGAAAATAGTTAAGTATAGTCTAAACAGAAAATTAAACACTAAAGAATTTATCTAGAAGGGAGTAAAGCTTTCATCATAAGCACCAACTGATTTATCAATAGTATCAGTTCCCACAGTGAAGTTAGAGACAGTTGTAATGTACTGAGGTGATGTTGCTGGAAAAGGTGTGATATTATTAAGAACAGTGCATAAAATATGCAAGTACACCTTTCAAATATAATATAAAGCAGAACCAATGATAATTATCAGAAAAATACCTGAAATGTTTTGGAACCAAAACAATGAGTTTTTCTGATGACTCAGATTTTCTTCTTTCTCATTAGGTTTTATTTGGATGGGACTGTCCATCAGGTAATTAATATAAGTAAAGTAATACAATAAAATGTTGATATTTTATCCAAGATAACTGAAGGAAATTTAATTTATGTAGAAAATACAAACTCAGCATTTAAAAAATATGATTTTCTCTAATCTTAATCTAATATTATTTTCTTCCAAATAAAATTAGGATTTATTTAATATTATCAGTTTGATATTCAGTTTTTTTATTCAAATTCATTTGCTTGAATTGGAGAATATCTTCCAGACTTTTAAAATCTGTCTAATCACAATAAGCAAACATAATTTGGGCACTTAACTTTTTATTTTTCCTGGCAGTACTTTGGAATAGGTAATATTTACACGAATTGTTATTCATATTAACATGGAAATATTAAGCCACATACAAGCATGGAAACAATACGTTAAAATATTCTAATGTGTTCGTTGTATTTTACCCTGGAAGTCAAAAGGAAATATTTATAAATTTCACACTAACATTACTCACAGACAGTAATTGACTCCCTAAATCAGGAGACTTTCGGGGTCTTAGCGAGTAAGGTTATAGATTGTTGGTGAAAACAACACATTTTAACCTGTAAATACAGAATAATGAAATCGATGTTACTAATCTAATAGGGTGTTTGTAACATTTTGTTTGCGATTTCCATTATTGAATATTATTCTTCATAGTAAACCAAATAATTAGCATAATTTTGTTTGGTAAATTTATAACAAAAAATATTGGGATTCCACATAATTTAAAATAAGGTGGAGGTACTATTGAAATTCCTATATTTGTTAAATATTGAAATACTATGTACATAAATATTATTTATTCCTGTATTTCTATTTGTTGACCCTCTTTCATCAAGACCTCGATTACTAAAAAAAATATTTATTTTTGTTTATCAAGTTTCTCGTATAACAAAATATCATCTAAACGTCAGAAAATTGATGTGGCATGTCAACACATGAAAAAGAATTAGGTCATAACAAACATACCTGACAAGGCATGGCTAGCATTAGGCTTGACGACAAAGAGAACAGGTCGGTATGGTGACATGCATTAACCTAAAGATTATGTCCCAAAAAACCTGCCACTCTGATGCTTTTTTTATTTTTTCACTTTTTAAAAAGGAATTCCTCTGTTTCCTAATCACTTTTTCTTATTAATGACAAAGTGAACTAAATGTTGGAACTACTAATGAGAAAATGATGAAAGCTTCCAACTTTGTGAGGGGTGTAAATATCTATGTCATTGGTTTGTACACCTAAAACTAAAAACAAACAAAAAACAACAACAACAACAAAAATAAACCTTCCAATTCCAAATGATAGTTGCTTTGGTTCTGAAGTTTGATTTATTGGGTTGTCAGAAAAGTCATGATGTATTTTTTTCTGTGTTTTTCATTGCAAAAATGTGTCATGACTTTTCTGACAACCCAATATTTTTAAATGATATTTTATTTTTAAATGATGTTTCTTTTGTTAATGCACACTTTATTTGTATTCTGAATATCATTTCAAATGTTTCATAAGCTACTTAGTAATTTTTTATACATTGACCTTTAATAATTTATGACTTGATTATATTTTAAATATTTAGTTTTCATGAATTATTTACCATAATTTAGGTCGACTTTTTCTACATTTTTGCAGGTGCAGTCAGTTTTCTTTGACATTGATTGTGTTTTTTATAATCTAATATTTTGTGTGAAATAGATTTTTGGGTATGATACAACTTACATTGGGGTAGAAAGCACCAACTCTATGAATCATATAATGAGCCTAGCATATATGCACTAGAATCAATAATTTCCTTGTATAGCGCATGTCTCAATAGCATAGGGCAATTCTATTGACGGAGAGCTAGATTTTCTTCGAACAATGGGCAAAGACCTTATCCACGGGATGGTGGCTTTTTTTTAAGAACTTGGAATGAAGATCATATGCATATTTTGACATCCATATTCACTTTTGCAATAATTGCTTAATGAAGCAGGAAGAATGTTACATTAAATTCTTGTTTAAGGCAAAGTTGATAAGAAACAAAAGAATTTATGCTCTTTAAAATTTTTTTTAAATGCTGCCTGACATGGTAGTTAAAAAGGGAGAAATTTTAACCACAAATCTAGGCAGTCAAATATTTTGATCATAAAATACTAATCTTACATACTCAAAATTTATCTCAATTTCCTAATGTGCTGTCTTTGACTACATTGGCCTTAAATTTTATGCAGGAAATCTATAACAATCTGAAGGTGTCAAGATCTATTTTAATGCAAAAATACTGAAGGTATAGGGAGCGGGAATCCAACATTACTAAATAGTAAAGGTTTGCTTGGGGCAGGAACTGGTGTTTCATATGAAACAGCTCATTAGTTGGAGTGAGAAAAGCAATCGCCAGTGAAGATGGTTTAAGAGCCTCCCCTGGGTTATGAAATGCTTTCCGAAAGGAACGCTTCTCTTTCAAGTGCTGGTTATCTTGAAATTATTCATTTTATCAGTCATAGC